TGTTTTAGGTGCAACTTTGTTTTGCAGTGTGAAAGAGAAGATAAGGTTTGTTTCTTTCCAGCCTTCTTGAAACAGATAAAAGACCAACTGTATGGTGCATGCCTAATATCTTTTTGTGTATACGCCACACTTGGATATTCTACGCCTCTCGGTAAAAAAAGATGTGCCTTCCCCCTTTCCTTTGGTCCTGAACCACAGGAGTAATTGAATTACATATTCTACTCTGTAGCTTCTCAGCCTCATGGGAGCATGCAACTAATCGTTAGGAAGCTGTGTTTTTCAGAAATGGGGAGGGGGAGGTGTACTGATGCTTTATTTCTTAGCAGTGGGCAACTGCATCGTTGATGTCAGTCATCTTTTTTTCACCATAGCAACAGTGGCATTAGTAGAAATCCATCAACAAGGCGCTTAACCTAATGACCTCTGAATGTTGTGTCGAAATCACATGTTGGTCATCTTCCAACATAAAACAAAGTGCTTTAACAGCATTGGCTGGAAGGAGCATTTGATGGTACATGGTATCTGGAACATAAATATTAAGGTTTAATAGATTTTCTGTTGTTTTTTTTTCTTCAATAAAAACAACATCTCATTATCTTAAGATAAAAACACTATCACCACTCCATTGATGCTCTCCGGCTTTGAAGAAAAAAAATAAAATAAAATCAATACACCTTGTGGGGAAATACCACAGTTTAACAATATTTAACAAAAATCAAAAGCAATCTCAAGTGTTTTAATTAAAAGCAGAAAAGCAAAAATGATTCCTAATTTTGCAAACATATTGAATAATTGTTTTATATTGTTATCAGTAACATTTGTTTTCTGGCATTTTAATTTTCATACATCATCTTAAGCAAACATGTTGAATGACCACCTGCTAAATTTTTAAATGGTTACAGATATCCTACTCATTGCATGTACCCATAGTTTTAAAACAACTAAAAAGACTTATTGGTGCCTCTTTAGCTTCAGTATTGCCATTAAAAATATGTTCAAATAAAATGTGGTTGTTTTTTTTTTTTTCTTTTTTGGTAGAAGAGAGGCCCAGGGGCTGTCTATCAACTAGCTGACCTGCAATATAAAGCAACAGCTGGGGCAGGGCTCTGATTTGCTACCCAATGCTACGTGCAGGAGAGAAAAAGCTCCAGACACTTCAGGATTTCCATTTGCATCTCATCAAAAGGTTATTAAGCCTCACAAATAGGCATGATGACATTTTTTTTGAAAACCTGTATAGCATAACACCGTTAACCAGCACATGCCCGCTTCACACTCCAGAGGCATCTTGCAACAGTTTCATCACCGTGTACATATGTTCATTAAATTATAATCCCAAGAGATGTTGTTTACCCACTTTTCTTTAAAAATGTACATCACTGGAAACATGGATGCAGTGAGGCTGTCTCACCAATACTCTTTCCGGCTGTCCTTTGAGGTTTGACCTGCCAGTTAAGTTTGTGATTTTGTCCAATTCAGTTTTTTTTTTTTTTTTTTTTTCTCAGATCCATAACACATCCACACTAATCTGTCTGATTTAAAGAATTGCTTAACAAATTTTAGCCATGGTCAAAATTTTTTTTAAACATTTAGTTGATTTAAAACACGTTGTTACATGCCTGCACTGGGTATTTACCTTGCTGTTTATTGAAGCAAGGCTTGATGTTGATCACTTACCGACTAACAGGTGCAATAATTACACATACAATTGTGGTGTTTTTATTGGGGTTGTTTTTCAACTATTATTTTTTCGAGTGCACATACAAAATCAATTTGTTTTTTTAGATATTTTTTGGAACAGTTAAACTATTCATTTCTGCATGTTGTTAAGGAATGCTCCAGGCAAAAACTGTTAAATAATGAAAGTACAGTGAAGATTAACGGTCAACCCAATTTAACCTTGTTACTGGACAACTCCAGTAGAAATAGGATCTTTTTATCAGCATCCACAGCTAAATGTTTGGCCGGCATCGTGAAAATGAATTGTGTGGAAGAAGCAGCACAGCAACAAATTAACACATTGAATCTTTGTGATTATCAGTAATTGTCATAATACCTTCCTCTTCAGCTGAAAGCAAAAGCTGTTTATTTTTCATTTTAAATAGTTAAATAGTATGCTTACAAATCCAAGCTAATTGTCTTTCATACAGCATAACCCTACATGCTAATGCTCCCCTGTGAGCAAAGTAGGCCTCATTAGAGAAAATCTGTTTGTATTTGTTCACTGTCAAACACTGGTAAAGCTGTGTTAAAACACAACACAGGGTGACCCTATCGTGTCCAATGGATCCGTTCATCTGTTGTTCTTTTGTTTGGCACTCTTTCATAATTCAGATTTACTGCTGCATCTGTAGTGTCCATGTTAATGAAGTAAAACCCAGTGCAGAGACCCTGCATTGATTTCATTTCCTGCCTCGCTGCCTGCTCCCTGGGTAGAGATGGAGATTACATGACAATGTTGTACAAAAGGAGAGATTAAAGAATCTGTATCCAACTGCAGTGTCACAGCTGTGTGCTCGGCTTCTCAAACAGATGCAGGACATTAAGGGAGAATTGCAGAACTGGAACTTTCTTTCTGTATTTTTCTACATATCTGTTGAACTGAAATTTGCTTCTTGTTAACCCTTACATGACGGGTTCGGGGGAAAAACAATTCTGTTATTTATTTATTTATTTATTCTTCTTAGAGTTGGTTTGTCAAAATTATTTATACACCTCCTGACAGTGAAAAATACATTTTTCTTGTAATTGCTGCCAAGATTTTTTCATTGTTATTATTTTCACTTGTATTTTCACAATATCTTCAGTAATGAGCCTCAAGCCTTTGAGGGTTGCCATGTTCAGTTCTTCTATCTTATGTTGCCGTGCTTGGATAATTCTATCAGCAATACTTAAGGTAACAAAGACACAGTCATTGCATGCAGGGAAATTAAACATTTTGAAATCTCTGCTCTAGACTGATTTTGAATTTATTGATTGAAAATATGGAGAACATTCAACCTGCTGTCTGAGATGCAGCACCTTTTCTTTTGATCCTACACTTTGTTTGCTTGCTTTGTTTGGTTAAAAATAATGATTTGGTGCCATTTTTCTTTTTGTAGATAAGCTCTGTAGAGGTGATTATCCTGGCTCTTCAGAAAAAAATATTCTATCATTTGTTTCTGTAAGAGCGATACACTTTTTTTCAAGAAACAGTATTTGGATGATTTTCTCTGACAAACAGGCTTCCCTGCCTTCATTGAGATAATTTCTGTCTGATGTATTATAGTGTAAACTTGGCGTCATTAGCAACAATAAAAGCAGCCCATGTGACAACTTGCCTTCAGAAGCAACACAAGCCTTTTCTGAAAAGTTGAGATATTGTGAAGATGACCCATTCTAAAAAATACACCATAGAGCTCTTTTTTTTTTTTTTTTGTAGGAGGCTACATCTGCTATATATAATAGGGACAATAAATCAGTCACTATCACCTTGGGGCTGTTGGTTATCCTTTGAGTTGTGGTTAAATTGTAATGAATTGTATGTTACAACTGTGGACAAGAAAACAAATTAAAGTTTGTATTGTAATTGACAAAATTTTGACAAAAACATTTTACATCATAGATGTACAAAATTAGAGTATGACTCCTCGACGTTCATTTGAATGGATCAAGACTAATGACATGGTACCTGACATCTAGGATTACAGCAGGTGTTGATCAAACACACCATCTTTGATATTCATATGACTTTTCAGTTATTCTTCTATTTTCGTTGTTGAATTTCCAAATGGTTTCATTAAGAATATCTTCTCTGAAAAAAGGTGTAGATAACTCAGGTGCTAAGTGTTAAATAATCAGTATTCAGGTTATCAGCTTGCTCAGTGCCCCCACTTTACTAATTACAAGAGCGGGTCAGAATTAATGAGTTGAAATCTATGATGGTAGAATTCAAGAAGCCAATTAGTGAATCTCAGGAAGTGAGCAAATTGCTGAGCTGCAGAATATCTGTTAAGTCTCAACTTTCAACAGTCAGCAACATGGAACCCTGAGGATGACCTGTGGTGTGCAGTCTGGGTTGGGAAAGATTAAATTTGCAGTAGATGTTTGAGTTGCACAATGGAGTACGAACAGAAATCAGAAGAAAATTATTTCAGTGTACTGAAGTAATTTTAAAGGTTAATTTGATTTATATTATCAAGTCTGTTTTCAATAAGTACGCTGTAATTTCAAACCTGTACTCCAAGGTTTGGAATTACATTGGAGTACAGGTAATTCATACATAGGCCATAAAACTACCTGCAGTTAGTGAGACTTATTGTTCTGGCTGGAGTCATTTAACAACCACTAATTGTTAAATTTGAGGACTATCCCATATTTTACTAAGAACATGAAAGAAAACCAGCAATGGTATGACTCTCTTGATTTTGTGATGCAGTACAGCATCTGGATACAAGTGTCTGAATGTTTTTTATTTGTTATTTTTTTCATCCATGGGGAAGTTTCAAAACGTCTTTTATTCAACCATATCAGATGATTATATGCTGTGCCTTTGGTAGAGTAAAATAGTTATATGCCCAGACACTCTTATGAAGAGTACAATTCCAGTTTTGTTAATCTTTTATAGGTCTACAATCAAAGTCTGTCTTGTACTGCTTGTCAACAATTTATCAGATTTGCTATTTTTTCATACCCTTGGCAGTGTTTATAAGGCATATTAGCTTGAAATATAAGTTAAATCAGCAGTACAGTTTGCCTTGTAATCAAGTTATGTATTTTTCCAACTTTGCTCCAGCAATTTCCATTCAAATTTAATTTCCTGCTGTTGTCAAGCAATAAAATAATGCCAGTCACATGTTGGAGCTGGACTGTTCGCTATGTTTTGACAGAGCAAGTTGTTAACCAACTGTGAGCAAACCTTCGCCTGCCCACCCACTTACCTATTCTACCTATACTACCTGTCATCATTATTGCATATTTTGCATGTGTATTGTTATTTTTTTCCAATTGTATACACTCACCTGTCACTTTCAAAGCTCTGCAGTATCTGTTTTTCTTCACAGCAAAACATATTTTATGCCAACTGGAGTTTCTCCCGAACTGTCTTTACTTAAGCAAAGTGGACAACATCTGTAATGTTCTAAAAAAAACATGCATTGTTTAAAGTGTGCATGTTTCTGAATTACTGGTTTCTGAAGCCGGTCAATTAAAAAAACATTTCAAATTAGATCAGGACTCCATGTGTTATAACTGTTTATATGACACTTCTATGATTTGTCTCTCACTGCAAGGTATTAAAGTCAATGATAGATTCCTCCATAAAAGCAATATGCTGCTCATAATTATAAGCAGAAATGTTGCCAATTAGGTTGGCATTTCTTTTCAGGCAATTGAAAATATTCTCATTCAGCTTCTTAAGCCCATTTCATTCTGCTGCAAGCTGACATTTCTTTAACCCTTCCATCTCCCTAAAACCTTTGGGCTTAATGAGCCATCTTGCTGTTTGACCCTGATGATTCACTTTGGATTTTGCTACCACTGAAAACCAATGATTGGGTGAGTGCGGCATGTTTGTCTACATCCACACTAGTTGTGCATCCAACAGTCTCTAAGCTCATTACAGTAATCAGGTTTAAAAGAGAGAAACTGGGGAGTGCTTGCCCTACAACTCATATCCACTGGACTTCCCCAGTGAGAACCTCTCACCCAAGCTCCGGCAGAGCTGATGGGACCCATCTCTGCAGATGCCTGTTCCTAATGATCCCCTCCCGCTGATCCTGTTTGTGTGAAACCCACACTGTGGTATTCCGCTGCAGCCATACAGTCATAATGACCAGCTTGTAATTGTAAATCCCTTCTGAGACACACCTATCCTTTTTAGAGTTTCTGAACATTTTAATCTGGCTCACACTAACTGTAAACAACAAATCATCCTTTTGCACATGAATATATATAGATCTCTCTCTCTCTCTCTCTCTCTCTCTCTCTCTTCTCTCTCTCTCTCTCTCTCTCTCTCTCTATATATATATATATATATATATATATATATATATATATATATATATATATACCTGAAATATATATATATTTCAGGTTCCACTCATATATATATATATATATATATATATATATATATATATATATATATATATATATATATATTGCATTACAGAAAATTACCTGGTGCCAGTATTACTGCTTGGAGGAATGTGCTCTGTTCAGTGTCATTCTGCCTAACACATTTTGCTGAGTCACAAAAGCTGTGATTAAGTACTAATAATAGTAGCTAGTGCTTATTCATTGGTTTGATCATATATTTCAACTGCAAGTCTCTTGACATTCTGAAATTCCACTGCTTCTACTTTTTATCTGTCCTTGTGAGAAACTACAGAACAATTCAGTAGAAGTTATTCACACTGTTTACAGCAGAATGAGCGCCTAGACATTTAGGAAGGCTCACTTTCCATCTTAAATGCTGCACATAAAAGGCAGAGACTTTTACATCATCCAGGATTGTTTGCATTTACATTCCTTACAGAAAGAAACAAAATATTTTCTTTCTTGTGGATGTTTATAGATGGCATTAGCAACTTGTCTTGCAAATTTCCTAAACTGCAGTTGAAACTAGCAGATATAGAACATACAAGCCAGTAAGTCCTATATAAAGCTCATAAATTATTTGTACAACTTCTTTTAAAATGTGTGTATGGTCAGGATTGACATATTTATTTTACATAAATAAAAACTTTGAGACTGAGAAAGTTGCTAGAAACGTGACAATGTTTTGGTTGCAAACTTGAACATCTCTGCAGAACACAATGGATATATAAGGTCTGTAGATCAAATCTGGATTTCTGAAGTAAAATTTTATATTTTGAATAAATGCGTCAGAGAGAATTATATTACTTAAAGACTTGGCATATCAGCCCCCTAATGTGGGATATAAAAAAGTTCTGTAGTGAGTCCAGTTTTTCTGTAATTTATCAGAGAATTTGTTCAATTTGGTAGCATGTGGACATCTGTTGCAGTTTCTGCTTCTGTTCTGATCAGCTTATGCTAGGGTCCACAGCTAATTAGTGTGTTTACACAACAGTACCAGGAGGACAATGTGGACTTTTCTGAAACATTATGAAATTTTTCAGGTTCCACTCAGTAAAGCATTTTTCTTAAGACTTTTTTATTATTTAAAAGCTGTGTGGAATGGCCAGTCGGCATTTAAATTATCATTGTTTTAGGTTTTCCAGATTTACAATAGATATGGAAAAAATGGTGCAATGACATCTGCTGCTAGATGTGCTTCCACTTCACAAGAACTGATTGAACTTGAAGCATAAGCTAGGAGTCTTATACAGCTGTAATTTCCTTAATTTCTCTATGTATTGGCCCTAAAGCATTTGCACTTTCAGGCAACTTGTGTGGTTCTCTTTACTTGTCCATGGTGGACAATATAGTAAGAATTTCCACATTGTTTTTGTGTCTGTGGTTCATTCGCCAGATGTTTACGAGGCTGATTTAAGCCAGAATTGTTTGTTTCTTGTAATTGAGAACACTTTTGGTTTATTGGTGGAAATCCACTGAAAAGGAAAAAAGATTTCTTCACTTGTGCTTATGCTACAACATCAGTGTGATGGATTATATCATACTATTTTTCAATCATTGGGAATATATTCACATATTTAAAGGATGTTCAACTCTTTTTAAAAGGATGAGGACAGAAAAAACAGTGTTCAAAACTTTAAAAGTTCTTTTGAAAATTTTGACACCCCCATTTTCAGCAGGACTCCTGCAGGCAACCTCGGCATGAAAAACCTTCTGAAGTCTGTGAAGAATTGTTGTTGTATACTTCTCTTCCAACCAACTTAAACATTTGATTTGCTAGTGCTTGCTGAGAGAAAAGCAAAGCTGCAAAGAATCACACAATAATACCACACTTGGAATCAACTCTCAAATTCTGTTTTTTTTTTCTTTCCTTTTTTTTTAAACTTTGTGGTATTTCCAGAGTCTGCTCTTGTTTTTGTAGTTGTCTTTATGATTTGCATATTCTAAAAAATTTGGAGGATATTTTGCAGAAATCCATTTCATGAATTTGCTACATAAAAACATGCCCTCATTGAAATAAATATTTAACAATTTATGTTAATTTGTGAAGGGAAATTTCTGTTGGTTTTGAGCAGTTAATGTCTTAACTGCAATAGATGACTCTTGACATTTTAATTTGGTATAAATCCACATTACTTGGGCCTAGAGGCAGAGCTAACGAATTGGCAGCAAGACCAAAGTGGACTTCTATCATCTTAAAACAATCTCAGTCTCAACAGGTCACAGGGGTTTATGCAGATGCTATTTAATTGCTAACATGTTTCATTGCACATTATACAAATGACAATAAATATATTTGGCAGAGATAATGAATCATTCTCAAGTCTTACTTTCTAAGATGTCAGACATTGCATGGACTAGTGGTTTGAAACTAATTGTCTGAATGAAAAGATACAAACTGCACCTCTGACAGGTAATGGACTGAAAATATTTTCTTAAAAAGAATCCAGTGATGTCCCGTGGAGTGTTAGTGTTCATATTGGCTATGAATATGAGAACTTAGATGTTTCTGCGACTTAACTTTTTAGTTTCTTTTTTTTTTCTAACTAACATTCTCACACTGTGAAGTGTCATGTTTAAACAAAATACTTTCTGGCAAGTCATTTACTACACTGAAACTCGCTCATCATGTTATAATTTATAGCATACCTTGGAGAATGCTTACTGTCTGGGATTGACATAAAAGGTTTTGAATGCTTGCTTATGATTATCCACCAAGACTTCCAGTCCAGAGAAAGAAAAAGTACAGTTATTAAACCCTGTATAGTGAGAGAATATGAACACAGAAATTAAAAGACGTAAACTACGTACATAACAAAAAAAAAAAAATGCTCTCTAGTTGTTACGCCCCCAAGGTCTAGGGGATTCAGGGACAGTAACATAAAAATGTCCAGAGGAAAAATTGGGGATATAAATAAAACGATTTATTACAAAAAGAAGGTTTTGCAGAACCCTGCCACAGTACAACTTAACCTAATTAGAACAAAAGGGCTAACAAATTCAAGATTAGTTAAGTGCGAATTCAATTACAAAATTCCAAATTAGTCAGTATAAAGTAAACTCAAAACAACCCAAAAGGGAAAAGAAAAAAAAACACACAAAAGGAGCACTAAGCCCCCCAAACACTAGCTTCTAGGTTGAGAAAGCAAACAACAAAGTCAAACTGCTTTAGCAGACCAAACAACAAAATGTTTCATAATTGCCAAAAGCAGTTGCAAATAACAAAGGTGGGGTATAGCAGAACAAAACTTCTTCCTACAAGCTGCCCCGCTGGAGGAATGTTTCAGGAGCCTTTTATAGGAACCGGTGAGGCTCATGAACATGTGATTGGCTTGCAATCCTCTGCCACTCCAATAGGGTGTAGCTCCTACAGCTTCCAGGCAGCCAATCAGAAGATGTGTCATCACAGCTGAACCTGTATAATAAAAAAAATTAGCCAGGGGTCATAACACTGGTTCACTTAGAAATTCAACAGTTACTGATTATTTTTTCAACTTTGATTAAACAATAATACAAATTTACAGTAATATTTAAAAAAAAAAAAAAACATCGCTATAACAACTAATGGTGTGACATATTGTGATATGTTGGGCTATATCACAATCAGATCGCATCCTGTTAGGACAGGAATGACACTAGTTTATTGAGCTTTTGGTGAAATAAGTAAAAACACTAACTGAAGGCATTTTGCATCATAATTTGGATGTTTGACGCATTACTAAACAATATCTTACCCCATCTAATTTTTATGAACTCAATATCATATCTCAATCCTACCCTATTTTTGGTGTAATTATAGCAAGTTCCCTGCTACTTGCAAACATATTAACAGTGAAAAGATTCATTATATAGGGATTTCATAAACCTCTGTGATATTTTTGTGATTGGAGTTGTTACAAAATAGTAGTTGCTTTGGTCCCTTTTGGGTTGGCCGCTGGTTGCATCCTATAATACCAACTAATTTGGATTTATAATGAAGATGTCAGAACAGTTAACCATAGCAAGTAAAATATTT